ACGTAGAAAACAGAGTTATCCTATAAAACGTATTTTAATGAGTAAAAATTTTATTTTTTGTCTATTTTTGAGAGGAACAATGGGAGAGAACTCCAGACAATCAAACCCAAATTTGAAGAAAACGAATGTTCGGCTACATGAAAATTAAAGGGTATGTTTGGTAGAGCCACTGAGAAAAATTTTTGGATTCCAAAAACTCCAATTGCATCAAACATTACAATTTGTAAAAATGTTTTAACTTCTCATGAGTTAGTTGTTTATTTATTTTATTGTAAATATCAGAAGTATCGAATTGATATTTTTATAAGAATTTTTCATTTGGGTTTTAATGAAATTAATACATTATTTTTTTATCCTTATTTTTTTCTTTTTATATACAAAAATAAAATTTTTACAATAATTTTTTTTAACAGAATTTATATTAAAAATTCAAATCACGGCATTAATTAATTTCACTTTCTTCATGAGAGAGCCATACATTAGAGAGAGTTGCCAGAGATAAATGGACGGACGGTAGAAGGCCCAGGATTGGGCAGAGGCCCTACCCTGGGCCTGAAAAAAAATTAGACAAGGCCCAGGTTCTAGTGTTTGTGTGGAAGGGTCTGATTTAAAGAGAGAAAATATATAGGGCCCATTTTTAATGCAGCAAAAATCAGAAGAAACTCTCTAATTTATTACTTCCCGCGCTCACCATTTATACTTTGCGCTCACCATTCTCTTCTAGATTTATTTATAGGGCGCATTTTAGATTCGTTTCATGTTTTGTTTGCTAATTTTAACTGATTTTTTAGGCACTCTTTGTGTTTGACAAATTGCCCCAATGACTTTGGAAGATTTTAAGTATTTAGGGGAGTTCATATATATTTTTTTCTTTTGGCAGAGGGAGTTGATGTTTCTTATGCATTCTTTTCTATATTTCTTTCTAATTTTTTAATAATATTATTATTGAATCTGCCTACCATATCCTAAATTATCATTATTCATAAAATACATAAAACAGTGGACATTTTTAATTTAGTATAACTTCAGAAGTAAAGAACAAAATTGGGGGCAACATTTGGAGTTCAAATTTATTAATAATGATATAGATTATTGGTGTATTCAAATCCAAAGCCAAGTGTTCTTGTAGTAAAAAAAACAGCTTAAAAAGTGAGTATAGAAATCAAAATAGTATCATTAAGAACAAAAACCATAAGGTCCATAACCAGACGTAAAGGAATAAAGAAGATGTAACACAATGCCAATTATCAAACAAGATGAGCCATTAGACCCTTTTTGCTACAACTAAATAAAGGGATTTACCTTTTCTTATTTAAACGAACAGCAAGAATTGAAGTTAAAAAGTTCAATTCTCGAAGAGGAGCCCCTCTTCTAGTGTCGAACAAACAGAGACGGCGAGCAGATAAAGATGGCTGTGATATTCCAGTAGCACCACAGTGAGTTGCAATTTATCAACCTCATGAAATTTTAAAAGAAATAATGCAAAAAAATCACTACTAAATGATACCT